TAAAAAGTACTAAGGAATCATCTAAAAAGTATGATCCTTTTTCTGCCCATGATGGCTACATAGTTTATAGGGGATTGAGTAAATATGAACTCGCGTCCCCATTCGGTGCTCAATACTACTCCCAAAATATAACTTAGCTCATATGTTAAAGAAAACATTTCCTCTTCCTCAACTTTGAGATTATCACTCAAAAATATTTCTCTTAAAAGTGATAGTACTAAAAACTTCTCATGAACTCTTTTGGAAATCGGTGTTTCCTCTCATCTTAAATGTAAAAACATTTACTCTTGGGAATACTTAGTTCCCATATATCATTTTAAAGAAAATGAACTCAACTCTGCTCTTCCTCAAACTCAAATGCTCAAGTCTTAAAATAAGTTTTAAAACAATGTAAAAGACTTCTCGAAATGACTCTAATGAACTCTCAAAACTTGACTCTTAATTGAATTATGAATTATGAATTCAAGAGTTATGATTTATGATATGAAGGATATCATGATGATTAAATGAGTTTTAGATAGTTAATGATGAGAAACGGTCGAAGAACACTGTCTGGGGAGCAAGTTCGCAACACGGAGATGAATTATAATATTTGGTTGCGAAATAACTTTTGAAACAGTGGAGTCCGTGTTCTCTCCGTGACGTGGAGAGAGAAATTTCTCTCTAGGGGAGCAATTCCGCGACGTGGACTTGGGCGCCAATTTCATGCCCGATTTTTTCTTCTTCTCCCAAACCTGATTCAACTCGTACCCACTAAAATTCTAAGGTAAAAACTCTCGAATTCCTATAACTCAGAACAATTCCAGCGGAACTCACTCGAGAACTATCAATTTACTCAACCCCTTAACAAAATCTTCATCTCAAGAACTCAACCAAACATCAAGATTCAAGAATGAATAACAACTCATCAAGAAACTCATCAAGAACTTAATTCCTCAATCTCTAGGGATGAATTTGGAAATGTAAAAATATGATTGGCATGTGGGTGAACGAACCCAACACTATGAAAAACTTACATACCTCGATTTGGCGAAACAAATCCTCAATTTGCACGAACCTTGATCGTTCTTCCTTTTCTCCTCTTTTCCTCTTCTTGAACTCTCTTCTAAAATCCTAAGCGGAATTAGGATTTGTAAAACTGACTCAAATCAAATTTGACCCCAAAATAATACTAAAAATCGTTTTAATCTGATTGGGTAAGGAAAAAACCAAAATACCCCTCATTAATTCGGGTAACTTTCCTTAACTGGACATGCTAACTTCAAACGGGCATATCTCCCTCATACGAGCTTGAAATTTAGCAAAACTCGGTGGCGTTGGAAAGAGGATTCCAAGACCTTTCATTTGATAACTTATGGGCTACCTAACTCATCCTGTACTGAAAGTTATGACCATTTGAAGTTGATCCAAAACTCACAACTCAAGCATAACTTGCAAAATTTCAAATTAGTTTCTTTCCAAATTAATTCTTTCTAAATATAGCTCTTTCTAAGGCAGGATTATATGTATGTATATGATTTTGTATGTGTATATATTGTTGGGAAAAGGCATAGATTCCCCCTTGAATTTGTCCCGAAAAGTTATTTACACGCTTTAACTATCCTGATGACCTATTACACACCTGATTTTGTTTAAAGTGATATTAATACCCCCTTAAAAGATGGCATGGCAAAGAAAGCGTCTTCACCCTCTTTAAGGTGCGTGAGAAGAAGAAAAAAAAAAGTTAAAATGATAAATTTAAACATGTGAAACTATCTTATTGGTCATTATATAATTAAGTATTATAATTTTTAGTATATTAATTATGTCAATAATCTTTTTTTTTTGTCTTTTTATTAGTGGCCTCCAATTTTTTTAAAAGCTTTTACATTTTTCTTTCTTTTGACTTCTTCTTCTTCAACAGTTCTTCACTTTGTCACCATTAATAAGTTCTTCACTTTATTCCCATGAAAGCATATTCAAACCCTTACAGAAGAACTCTAAAAAGAAATAGAAAGAAAATGATTGTTCTATCTTCGTCTTCTCTATTCTTGCCGGCACCTCCAACCATCACAATGTCATTTTTGTCTCAAGCGGCCATCAATAGCATATTTGATTATTCACTATGCACAAATAATACAAATGAAATGCTTAATTTCATCCATAATTATCGATATTTTTAAAGAAAATTACAGATTTGAAAGTAATTTTATAGATCTGAAAGTTTTTATTTGTTTCACTGGCAACAATGGTGTTGCCCACGGCGTATCACCGCTACCAACATCTCCATACTTCATAATCGTCTGACTACTTCCTATTTTATCTTCAAATTTTCTCGTTTCCCCTTCTACTTATGAAGAAGGAAGAAGAAATGAATTTAAAAAATAAAGAGATGTATGGTGTGGGGAGGAAGAACACACACAAAGTAGAAATTATTAAGGGAAAAAAGTTAAAAAATATAAAATAATATTATTTCCGTTTTCATCAAAACGCATGTATAACATTTTCTCACACAAAATTGAGATTGTCTTCGGAAGGGGGAATTAATATCATTTTGAACAAGATTAGGTGTGTAATAGGTCGTCATGACAGTTTAAGCTTGTAATTGACTTTTCGAGACAAGTTCAAGGGAGAATTTATGCCTTTTCCCTATATTGTATATGCATAATATATACACATGATCTTTAACTTGATTTCAGTGGATAAATATGATATTTAACTTTGTGAGTGCACAAGTAGGTACTTTTACAATTTAAAACTTGAACACAAAGACTCAATTTAACCTTTGACGTGCGTGACTTGCATGAATTTTAGTATTTTGCTCCAGAAGAGGTTCGCTTGAGTCACCGGCGATGTCTCCGGTCAGATCGATTGAAGTTCAATTCTGTCTCTCTTTCTTCTATTATTTGTTTGTATTGATTGTAATTGAAGCAAGGATGGTCTTGAATGAATCATTAATTTATCAATAAGATATCTTAAGAGTAAAATTGGTTCAATTAATATTTGGTTTGGGGGATTTCGTCCAATTGAAGGACATTTGTTAAATTTCATAACAATAAGAGTAAAATTGGTTTGATAGTATAACTAAAGACAAAGTTAACTAATAAATGAAAGTAAAAAAGGTATCTTTGATCATTTTTTCCTTTATCCCTTGTGACTTTGATTAAAAAGATAGAAGTATATTATAAAATGTATGAGTTTTTAGCCAAAAATATTCCTAAACTATACCCTCAACTTAAACTACATCCTTAAATTATCCTTCTTAACAGAAAATATCCCCCAAGTATTTAAAACTTAACCACTTTCATCCTTTTGTTAAAGCTTTTTTCACATAATTTCATTATCCGTTGGAAAAAGCTCCCCCACCAAAAAAATAATTAATTTTTTGAGACATTTATTTGCTGAAAAGAAATAAAGGTAGGATGGTGTTGCAAAGAGACATGATCTACTCTTCTCCTTTATCAACTTAACGAAGCTGAAGCTTAATTTCACATCATCTTTACCTTCTGTAAAGTCAAAATGTAATTAGATCAACAATTTTTTGGGCAATTTGATGTTTAAAGTGATCAAGATTCTGAATTTCATATATGACACTCGAGTTTTGTTCTCCATTATTAAAAGTAAAAGTCTCAAATCGCCACCATTTCTTGTAGATTCAATGAGAAAAAAATATTTCAACTGGTAATTTTTTAATATCAAATCAAATGAAAAATAAATTAAAACAAAGTTGCTAATAAAAAGATCTGCATAATGCCAAGTGTTGTTGCAAAAAAGAATTCACAATAATATTTTAGATGTATCACGAAATGAAGAGATTTTTTTAATCTTTAGTGATTTAGGAAGTTTTGCTGAGAGTAGTATGAATTGCACATATTTTTGTATGAATTCTGTTAATTTGTGTCAAATTATAACAAAAGGATGGAAGTTGTTAAGTTTAAAATACTTGAAGGATTTTTTTGTTAAGAAGTAGAATAGCATGGGACATAAGTTTCATTTAGTTTGAATTACATAACATGGGACATGACTCATGAGTGTATTGGACATGGAGTAAGACTAGATATGGATATATACTTCATTTTCATAAAACCTTCGAAACTTGTCATGGTCTTAGGTTACCTTACACCTCAAAAACTTCCTTCAAGGCATGTTTCATACCTAATATTTGCCTTGTAAGATATTTCTAATGGTGTGAGTTCTTGAAACACAAATCAATACCTTTTACCTTCAATAAGACGAAACTTACCACTCTCATCACTTTTCAATTATAATTCTGACATGAGCACATCTAATTACAAAGTGTTGTGTCGTATCTAGAAAGTTTCCGGAAAAGGCATGCATGGCTTTGTCTAAACACACTGGAAAAAAACACTTTAAAAAGCATATACAATAGTGAATCAACCGCGTCTACCTTCTTTTGGCACATTCTGTCTAATAAGAATTTAAATTATTATACATTTGAAAGCATCAGGGAAAAATAGAATTACTCTTCTGCTTGATCCCTTCTAATGCCCTTCTTCAACTGTAATCGTCACCTGATTGTTGGATACAATGTATATCTTATTGGAGGAAGAAGATGATGTGCTAGAAGCGTGCGTCCTTGTTACAAAAGCTGGTCTATTAGGTGTTGGAAGGTTAATACCTTCCCCTCCCAACATTACAATAACATCTGACATATTAGGACGATGATTTGGATCTTCTTGTACACACAGGAGCGCAATATATATACACTTTATTGATTCACTTTTGTTGCATGATTCAAGTATTGACTTCTCTATTAATTGTATCTCGGCTTTTTCTCTCCACAATTTCCATGCCTGTGATAATTTTTCTATCAGAGAAACAAAACTAAGAAGAAGATATAATAATTAAGCCATGGGAAGTTTCTTCACTTACATAGCCCAACAAGTTTAAGGCTTCTTCTGACTGATAAAATCCTGTATTCCTTCTTCCACTGATTATCTCAAGTACGACTACTCCGAAACTGAATACATCTGATTTAATGGAAAACAATCCATCCAGTGCATATTCAGGAGACATATAGCCACTAGATTTCACCAGGTCAACAAAACATTATGTATAAGATTTTCTCCCAAGCTCCTTTTGTAAGAAATTAATGACAGGAAGGAATATTATACTTACTAGGTGCCCACTATTTTCTTTGTATTTGCTTCTGTTACTTTTCCTTCAACAATCCTTGCCAAGCCAAAATCTGAAATTTTCGGGTTCATCTCCTCATCTAATAAAATGTTACTGGTTTTCAAATCTCTATGAATGATCCTTAGTCGTGAATCATGGTGAAGATAAGATAGACCCCGTGCAATGCCCAATATGATGTCATAACGTTTTTTCCAATCCAATAATTGACAAAGTGCTCCATCTTGCATCATAACCATGAAAAAATTTGGTAGGTCAATAAAATTAGATCATTATAAGAAATGTAAGACTTTGAGAATAAGGAACTTAATAAGGCTAACTCACCAAATATGAATGTATCTAAACTTTTATTCGGCATATATTCATAAAGTAATATTTGTTCCGCTGCATTGATGCAATAACCCAATAGCCTCACCAGATTTCGATGTTGAAGCTTTGCAATTAGAGTCACTTCATTCTTAAATTCATCTATGCCTTGTCCTGATTGACTGGATAACGTTTTTACTGCAATTTCCTTTTCACCCGGAAAGATACCCTGCAAGATTTTTTCATCTCATTACTATAGGTCAATGCGGTCATACCAGTCCACATAGATGTAGGGATGAAGTTTTAACCTTGTAAACAGGACCAAATCCTCCTTGTCCGAGCTTATTTGCATTTGAGAAGTTGTCTGTAGCAGCCAAAATGGTCTCCAAGTGAAAGTATGGAACATCAATAGCTTCATCACTGTTTTCTTTCATCAACACTTTCGCTTCTCCTTCAGCTTTGTGCCAAAGAGATATATGTGCCCCTTGAGTACCTTTACTT